CCATCGTCGTCTTTTCTGTCCAAATCGGTCAATTTTTGGATGAGTTACGGCATTTTTAATGTTTCCTACTTTCGTCCACGATATGTATAATGTATAGTAATATTTCTCGGTACTTTGACTTTTCCCAACATTTATCAAATTTTTTCTATAAAGGTCAAATGGCGGTGTTGGCGTCGACAGTGTTCCTTTGTGTGGACTATTCGTAGTTTTTGTGGACACTGCGTTTGAAAACTTGATATGCTCACGCTACTAAGCGATTGAAGTCATTTAATATTCGGTAGGAAGCTAGTATTTTCATGGAGGAGAAATTATAATTGTCTCTATTCTCTTTTTTTATAATTTCAGAAACATGGAGAATAAACATAGAAATAGATTTGATGAAATAATAATGGATATCGCATTATTACGTTATAGTCGCGTTAGTTCGATCGGTTGTTTATTGGATTGAAAAGTTAAGCCTCAAAACAAACGTGACACGCATCTGACCAAAGGAAAAGCCGCGTAGCTACTGTAAAATGATTAATTATTCACTGGGTTTTAATTTAGCTTATTTCGCTGACTGTAAAAATGCGCTAAATTAAAACACAGTGAATATGTAAAATTTAGCATAGAACACATTATCTAAATGACGAAACCGTGAATTTAAAACCCACTGAATATGCCTGAAATGGTAAATCAGTGAATTTTAAACCCAGTGAAAATTAGTCATTTTACAGTAGTCTGTTCTTTAGTGGCCTGAGCATACATTCATTAACTAATGAATGTTAAGAGTTTTGTCTCAATTTTCGTTTCAAATAACTATGATTGGATAACTTTGTTTTCCTTGAATCTCCAAAGTCCCCCATCCGGCAAAGACTCAAATGGTTCTGTATAGCACGTTTATACGTACTTGTTTAATGTCGAAACGCTACATACATGTATGATGGCATGATGAGTCTGAGAACACGTGTTTGTCAGATATCGAACACCCGACAGCGATCATAATTTCAGGCGATACCTGGCAGCAAAAATAACATTAATCTGACCTTCGACTTAATATCTTTTACTTTCGCTTCAAATTCTTTCTGTTTCTTGACATCTAGTGCCATAATAGGTGGGTCTTTTTCCCTTGCTGTGTCCGGTGCTTTTCGACGAGGTGCCATGTTGGATTTTGACTGGAGGAAACAGCCAACGAACACATTCACCATAAATCTCTATGACTTTGTGATTAAATTCTTATTCGCATTGGAATTAGTAATCTGCTATTTTTTAATATGCTATTTTTTGATGTTTGATATAAACATATTAGAGACGATTAAGTTTGTGAAAAACCTAATTACATGACATATTTTTAAAATAAGCATGGACATTTTATTTGATATTTGAAAATATATTTGAAATTATGAATGGATTTGAACCTGCACGGAATAAGAAGTTAACGATACTACTGTTATAGCAACACCCGAACAACAAAATGTCGAAGTTTGTGGTAGCAGGTTAGTTTTCTCGTGTTGTACAATGATAAACATACTTCAAATGTGGACGGTCAGAAATACCGATCTGCTAAATGCAGAATGAGAATTATCCTTACAAGAAATATGTTGTCGAGCTAGGCAAATACTTATCATCGGCGTTGCTGTCGGTGGATGGCGCGAGTCTTCTCGTGCTAATGTTATTTTTATATCTCACCAGGTTCTGCCGATTGTCCATATTACGCTAAGGCTGAGCTATTAGCAGACGATCTGAAGACCAATTTACCCGATTTTAAAATCCACAAGATAGTGAAAAATCCTGATGAATGGAAGGTAAATTTGACCATGGACCCGCGTCGCGTTTGTTGTCATAGTTATCATAGGAGTTGAATACTCGAGTACCTGTGAATTAATTGAAATGTCTCCAGCTACACTTCATTTACCCCAGAGTTATTACTATTCAATCAGAACAGAATAGAATTCTTATATTGCAATGATTTAAAAATATATTTTTTTTTATTTGGGTTAAGTGCATCATGGAGGTAAAAAGTTACCTCCATGAGTGCATTCAGTGTTTGCACTCTGGGGTAGATCTTCCGGCCCCTGTGAGTGAACATGTTCCTCATGAAACAGAGAGATCCTTTTGTATTTTGAAATAGATGAAGTGGATATATCCGTTCCTAAAAAGAGACATTGTCTGGCGTTATATAACTTAGGAAAATGTAGTTATATTTATTTTATTTGTATGCAAATTAGCCATGCTGCATGCACAAAAATGAATTTGGATGAATGAGTTATCATTTTTTTGGTGAACGACCATTCCATGTCTCCAAAGAAATCCACTATTATGACTAACTTGCAATTGGTAGTCATTCTTACCTAATCTTATGTATTAAATGTGTGATTCTGTTAAAAGGTAGTCCATCAGGAAAAAACTAAAAGTAAAATAAAATAAAACCAAATGAAATTAAACCCTACCCAATTACCTAGTGTTTTTTAGTAGTCTTATAGCCTGTTAAGTATTCCTGATCTGATTTTGATGAGCAAAATATTGGTGACGATTTATCTATCATTAATAAATAAAACTAATCTGCAGGAAGTCTGTGATCACAGTTATTAGTACCCATTATCTCCATAAACCATGTGGATGACAGTTTTTGTGTATCAAGTAACGAGAGTTTCTATACTTATGCCCATCAAAAAGATGTTGACTTACTTACTATGTATTACAGCTTCAATTTTGTTTCAAACATGTTGATTTTGTATTGTATCCATCCAGATTGCCTTTCAAAGTTTACAAAATATCTGTAAAATATTAGAATCCAATTTTATATTCATACAAACTGATAAAGCATAACAAAATATGAATCAGTGATATCTTGGTATAATCATTTTTACTGATGTGTTGCTTGGTTTTCTTCCAGAATTGGTTGGAAGAAACATGTTCGAAACACGGCTGGATGCACAACAAATCCCCAATAGTATGGAGAGAATTGGTCGACCGTGGAGGCAAGGGTGTGCTTATTGGTGGTGCCAATGAATTCCAAGAGTATGCACTGGGTTATTATGGAGTCAAATCTAAGATGGTTAGTGATGATATGAAGAAAGTCAGCACGGAGAACCTGGAAACAAAAATTATTGTTACTGCAGAGGAAGAATACAAGAAAAGCTTAAGTAAACCACTACATGTGTGTATCACAGATGCTGCTAGCAGTGCTGCTTACTATATGGTGCATGCTATCGCACGTGGTGATGTATTTGGGAAAGATACCGAAGTATCGCTTAGGCTGCTGAGTGAAGATTCTGGGGTTACGGATGAGTTGGAAGGTGTAAAAATGGAAGCAGTGGATTTGGCATGTCCACTATTGAAGGATGTAAGAGTGGAAACCGATATAAAACAAGCATTCACTAATGTGGGTGTTGTAATTATGATCGATGAAATTGAAAAGAAGGAGGACATGGACTCAAAAGATTGGCTCAAGAAAAACGCTGATTTCTTCAAGTCGCGTGGTACGGTTCTAGATGAAGTGGCGAGTGGGGATGTTAAAGTTGTTGTTGCAGGACATGGACCAGTCAATTTTAATACATACATTCTCAGTCACTCTGCTCCTTCAATTCCACGACAAAACTTTGTAGCACAAGCAAGGTTGCGAGAAAACTATGCTAAGGCAGTAGTCGCGAAAAAACTTGCAGTCAACTCAGCTGGCATAGTTGACTTGATTGTATGGGGAAATGCCAATGGCACAACATACACTGATGTGACCCGGTCACGTGTGCATGGCTATGACGGAGCAATCTGGGGACCACCTACATTTAATAGACCTGTGATGGAAATGGTGCATGATAATAAATGGCTAGAGACAGAGTTTTTGGATTTGGTCAAAGCTCGTAAAGAAACTGTGGAAGGTACACTGGGTCATAATACGTCCATGTCGAATGCAGCAGCCATAACAACACTACTCCATGATTGGTGGAATGGTTCTCCTCCAGGTCGCATTTATTCTCTTGGTGTTGTCTCTGATGGTAAGTGTATAGCATACATATGCACAGTCCAAGCAATATTTGACATTAAGCTAGCATTCAGCTGACTATTTACTTTAAACCCACTATGCCTAAATATGTCTCTTATTAGTATTGTTGTTGAATACTGTAAAATACTTTATTTTACCTGGAATTATTTTTCGCTGAAAATACTTTTTGTGTGTTTTGTATGGAATTAATTTTCACTGATTCTTGACGAGTTGAATAAAAAGGTATATTTGCTGGATTTTATTTTCACTGAATCATTCAGCGAAAATAGCGAAAATTAATTGCAAGCAAAAATAAAGTATTTTACAGTAGTATCAAGAATAGGTTGAAATTATTGATGACAATGATGTTTACTTAAAGGCAAAGATAGGTAAGAGTCAGCTTTGATGTTAAGTTATGCTTGGATGGTACTATAAATTCTAATTTGTTCAAATCTGAAATTGTTCTTCTGTCATTTTTAAACCACTTCAGAATGTAGTGATTAACTTGATTGCAGCTGAATTATGTATTTCATTTTTAGTTATTAAAATAATATTTATGAATGGGGGGATAAGAGCTTTCTTTGTTTGCTCTACTAATACTGCGCAGATATGTAAATATAATATTTTCACTGATTTGATATTTCACTATTTTGAGTATATTCCTTTTAATTTTACATTAAAAACAATAACTTCAATTGTAAATGGATTTAATTCATTAACATCAGAGATTATAGCAAAATTCAAACCCATTAGATAATTAATGCAATTACAGTACCGGTATATTAAAATTGTTCAGAGTATACCGCTACTTCATCCACTTTTAACCAGTAGATGTTTTAACTGCATTTGCATATTAAAAATAAAAATCTGTATTTTGATATACATGTATTAATTAAAACATGTTAATTTGTCTTCATAGGCTGGTATTATGATCTTCCTGAAGGCATTGTGTTCTCACTTCCTGTGAAATTCCAGAAGGGAATTTGGGAAGTAGTCCAAGATCTAGAACTGGATGAAAATGTCAAAAGCAAACTCCAAGAAATTAGCCTTGAGTTGAAAAAGGAACTGCATGTCATGTTCCCTCCTCCATTCACCTCCACCCCACCGCCATCTGAGGAAGAGAGTGAAAACGATGACGAGAAATTGAAGAAAGTCTTTGGCCAAGATGGAGAAACTGATGAAATAGTGCCATCAGATGGTGAAGCCAAGACAGAAGAGGAACTTAACGCTGAGCGGCAACTTGGAACGATAAAGGAAGAAGTGGAGCCTGAAATAACAGACGCAGAAAAAAGTCTTATAGCTACAACCGACACTGAACAACCCAGCTCTACAGAACCGCCACCGCCACCAGCATCGCAAACAGAATAAATCTATTGTATCATTCAGTCACTGAAAATATCTATGGTGTAATAATGTGTTTGTGCAACTTGTACCGGATATCTATCTCATTTGACTAATTAACTGAAACAACACTTGTTTGTATTGTGTTATCTTTCATAACTGATGATTGTACACTAATTATAAGTTAATTGTCACATTAGAATATCAACTGCAGAGTGTTATAGCTAAATACTAGTAGGCTTGCCAAGCCAACGTGTAAATTGTCATTACCAAATTGTCATTATTGTAGAATAGTTTAAGGGTTTTTTCTTCACTAATTCCTGATTTACCCATGTGTATATAAACATAATCACTCGTATATATTCTGTGTTATTCAGTGGATTTCAATAAAACTTTACATATGACTGTAATATTGTATTAGCTTATTAATTTTTGCAAATGCTCTCTGTACCCCTTAAAACCATCACTTTTTTAGTTTTATGTATTTTTTAAAACTTTCTCAGAACACAATGACCAGAAACAGTTTTGTTGTTGTCTGCGAACCATATTAATCAAACGTTATATATACCAATCAATCCTTATATTGATAAATTTAATTAACTTTACCTAAAAGTTCTAGGGAATTGGTATTTCTTTAAGAAGCACTTGTTTGATAATAAAACGCCAGTCTCACAATTGTGCTGTAATGACTTTCTTTTTACAATTGAAATTTTGAATTATTTAAAAATTTCCAGAAACAAAGTCATTCAGTGAAAATGTGTAATTATTTGGATTCTATTTTGTTGAAAATTGTTACAAAGCCAAGTTACAATAATATACCAATCATTTCTGTTGGAATTAATGAGACTGAATTTAAATAAAAAACAATTGGATTTTAAATGTCATAAATAATGTATGTTTATATAAACATTACACATTAAAGCGAGAGGGTTGTCACCTGTGCACACACAATAATTGAGTCCCAAGCGACGATAACAACACATGCTAAAAACGCAATGGTTCATGAGTAGATGCTTGTTTCTAAACAATGACACGCTATGGCCACCTGACGCATTGCGCAGGTCACGACTACTCCACTTTAACACTGTAACCATTAAATTTTGCTGCTAGGAATTGTTACGATTTAATAATTTATGGCATTTCTGAAAACTAAATTCTGCCAAAGTCACTGACACTGTGTTGTAGAACTACAGAGAAATTTTCACTGCTACAAAATTTTAGATTTTCCCTGGATTGCAAAATTCACAAATTTTATTTTCCAAAATAACTTTATGAGACAAGTTTACATGTAGTGGGTTACTTACCTGAATGTTATTAGTCCCCGTTCGGACGAAGTCCACAAACGGGGACTTATAATTCGGTCTCCGTCCGTGCGTCTATGCATCCATCTGGATTCATATCTCAGAATCCCTTGGACCGATTCCGTTCATTCTTTGCATGTGCCTAGTACTTTATGTAGGACATATGCACATGCAGTGGTTTAGCGATTCAATTCAAAATGGCCGACTGGCAGCCATCTTGTTTTTTGAAACTGTTGTATTTTGGACATGCTTTGTCAGTTGTCATTCAAACTTGGTACATGGATTATAGATGTTAGGATACATGTCTATGACGATTTATTTCGCAATTGGATCAAAGATGGTCGACTGGCAGGCATCCTGTTTTTTTTTATGCGGTATCTTGGAAGTGCTCTGTCATTTTTCATTCAAATTTGGCACATACATGTACTGTATACATGTTAGGATGCATGTCCAGGACAGTTTGTTTCATAATTAAATCAAAGATGGCCGAATAACGGCTGTTTTTATTTTTGGCCATATTACTACTACATTGAACATGTGTTTCGATGTAAATAAACAATCTGTTGTATACGCACTTGGAACTCAAGTTTCAAGGACACGCTCGTGACAACCTCTCTGCTTTAATATGACGAGCACAAAGGAACTTTCAAAAATTTTACGGGGACTGTGTTATTTAAAATGGCAGACTGGTGGCCATTTTAATTTGTTTTCCCTTGACAAGAGATATGAGGATGTAATGTATGTTTGTGTGTATTGATTATGATGGAACTATTTTATTTGCATATTACCCGTATATTATGAAATGTTCAAAACAAAGATGGCATTCTCTTCATTTAGTGATTATTGCTGGTGGTGCAATTCAGTTGCAATGATTACACTCTTGAGTGTTTGTTTGCAACCCCCCACTTAAAAAATCAAACCATATATTATCTTAGTTTGTGATTGTAGTGCAATGACGTCATGCTTGTGGTCATAGTCCTTTAATGTCCCAGCCACTTTGGTGATATGCAGCAAATGGCCCCATAAATGGAACCCACCATAGAGGGCGGTTCACTGCGCAAGCTATATTCCAACTTTACAGAGTAGAATCATCAGATCCACGAGATTGTGTGGCTTAGAGGTCCGAAATTGAATTATATCAAATACAAGCAGTCTGGCTTCACATTGAGAGGATCTATGAAACGATATAGAAAGGTAACCAGGTTAATGATACAGCAACATACATGAATGCAATACAAAACCGTTAAAAAATGTACTATCGACTATCTCCATTCTCTCCATTTTTATAAAACCAATCAACGAGCATACTGCACAGTGACGTAATTTGAAAACGTTATGTATGTTATTCCATCGGCAAATAGAAACCTCTCGTTTCAGTGACTTGTGAATTATTATTTTTTTGGTTGTAAGCAACAGCACATCGGTTGACCTGAAAGCGATTGTGCAATTGAATGGTTGTAGCCTAATCAAAATGTGACATTTAATGAAAGATATTTGTTTTTAATAAATCGGATTAGCTTTAACAGTAAATTACATGAAGGCATGCACTCTAACGTCTGTTCTATCATTAATTTTATCATACGCCAGCTGTGGTGTTCTGGATTTTTATTTGAAGCAACCTGCATTAATTTGTGCGGGTTGGTGAGATAGGCGATTTCAACTCAAATTAATGCATAGACAGACGGCCCGTGGTCACCACAGACTTATTTCATACTGTGCAAAAATTCCGACATCCTTCGAAGACATGATTTGTGTAACCAATTGAGATTATAGAAACGTTAGCTAGAATTTAACAAAGAAATGCAGTTTGATTTGTGTAATTGATCAGGGCATATTTTTGTGTCCTTATTACATGTGGGTTCAATTGATATTAAAACTGAAAATAATATTGTACGTTTTATATTTCTGATTCAAATATCGCATTGCTGGAAACAATAATGATAATAAATTAAATATTACTTACTCGTTGTTAATAATATTATATTTTTCAGATTGAATGGAATTTAAAGATTTTTTGCAAACATTGGTAATTATTCTTCTGTGCCGGAAGAACTCTGGTTAGTTAAAATAACACAGTGTCCCGTTTTAATGTTCATCATCACAACAATTTTAAAAGTACTTTCATTAGACACATATTTTGAAAAGTTTTTCCAGCAGAACACTTTGAAAAATGCTTTTACGCAAAACGCAATATAAATATTGAAAAGTGCTGGCATCAGCGACACATTTTAAATTACGTTTTCGGTGATAATTTGGCAAAAAATCATCATCAATACACATTACCTGATATATATATTCTGGAAAGTGTTAATGTGCACAATTAACAAATCACATAATTAAGTAAATATTTATTACTCAATATAAGCATTAATAAAATAGGTTTGCATGTAACATGGACACTTCAAAACAGATGAGTAATAAAATAAAAAAATTACATCTTTAAACTGTTTTTCTTTGATATAAATTAACGTGCCCTGTGGTAATGCTGTCTCGAATGCAGGATAATAATGGTGGACCAAACAAAAAACATTTATTTCAGAGAATCTTGCTCACTAACTATAAATTCACTCTATTCCAATATCATTCTCACCCAATCTACAAATTTGCATAACATTCATTCCATCTCATTCACTTTTCAGTCAATTAATTTGGGGTCCGTCTGTGCGTTCGTACTTATTTCTCAGACAAGCGCGTTCAAACTTAACATAAAGATAACCTATGATGACTTACATATGCACGTAAATTTGTATGAGAATTTGATAAAATATGGCTGACTGGGGGCCATTTTGAACATAAATTTGCTAAATTCTGACATTCAAACGGGACCGGAAAAGTTGAATTACTTATGAAATTTTTCTAAATAATAGTGATTCAGAAATAGTTATGTAATATTAGAGACTTGGAATGACTCATTTAGATTATGCGCAAATTCGCATCGGTGTGTAGTAATCACCACTAGGTGCACGTGGCATCAAATATTGCCTGCCCAGCTCTGCGGCATTCAGTTTACTAACTTGAGCGTTGATAACAGTACTACGCAGGTTAAATCTGTTACTGACATGTACATGGTAGACACACGCGTAAAATACATGAATATATAAAGCTATTTATTATCGAAAAACTAAAATAAATAATGTTATCTTTACGTGCACAGTATGTCTGCTGACCATTGGTGTGTGGACATTTTTCCTAATAAATATGCTGCATACAGACAACAATCAGCGTTGTGGCTATTATAGATGCGTACCGTATACGGCATACACAAATATCCTGTAATAAACTATGAAACATGCAATGTTGTGGGTGTATAGGTTGAAACATCGCATGCATAATGGTTTTCCGAAGTGATTCAAACAGTTTTAAAGAAAAGAGTTTTAATTACTCCCATGGAAACAAATGGTCGTATACATTAACACTTAGTGAAGCAGTTGTGATCTGGTAATTTTGGCCGAAGCACCATTGGCGAGTTTGCTTTCTAAAGTGATTCAAATTTAACAGTTTTCGGGAAAATAATTGTTCTAATTGTGAAAGTTCGGATACGATTCGAAACAACGCCAGCGTTCACCAACTGCGGAGCATCAAACTCCATCAGGTGTATCTTCGCAACAGTGATAGCATACATAGGCTGGGGCATAGTATAGCCATGGCAAATTTGTTATTTGTTACATTAGTAAAACTACTATGACAAATTACTGCTGTGAGAAATCATACCTAATGCTTAAATCAACCAAACATACCCTATTCTCAGAGTTCCGTTGGAAAACGAATATATTTGCGTCTAATACCAGGGATAATGTGTAGTATTGTACGAAGCAGAATTTATTTATTTGAGTGCATAATGCAGACTTTAAATCAGCTACTTTGTTCGAAGATGAAATAGCTAACTGACTCTACCGATTATGCACTCCAATTGAACTCTTAAAATATAGAATGCTTAGCTACATTCAATACACGGAATACCCGCACTTATAAGCAGATAAAAGTTAGGGGTAAATGTCAAAATATGCAGTATAACAGAAGAAAAACGGCAAATGACGTTAATGAATGAAATTTATACCAACAAAATACCAGAATAGACTACCAACAAAACATGAAAACAACATTA